AACCATCGCATGGCATATTGTTTCATTTCCTATTTGTGTCACGATACAGTTGAATCAGGCGCTCGTCAGTTTGGGGGGTATTTGGAGTTGTTGGTATTACATTAAAGCTTGTTTATTTGCTTTGCTTTTGGTGAAAGAATTACCCATCTACCGTAAATAGAAGTCGATGTATTCTAAATTATAGGAGTGGGGGGGGGGGGTCCTGAAGTCAGAGGTAAAGTTAGGGTGGCAATGGCGCAAAATTTTGATGACTTCCAAAGCTTTAGTGTCCTTGGAAACTGCAAATTGACAAACTTTTTTGTTCCTTTAATCAAGGTTTCCGTACAATCGACGCACGAATGTGTTTTTTAAGAATTCTCATAAAAGGTGTTTAGAACAAGAAAGATTCTTAAACGCTGATAGGGCGAAAAAAATCGGTTTCTTAAATGTCATTATTCTGACGAGCGCCCGATTTCTCAACGATGCCCCACATTTTAATTTTACTTCGCTGTATGTGAATTTCCGCGTTCTTCTGCTAGTGACAATGATTTTTTTTTCAATGTTTATTCTGAATAACCATATTTTCCGAGTTGACCAAATTCGGCACGAAAACGAATGTCGGAACTCAACTAGGACATCGCTGGTCTTGCCACCAAAGTTCAGTTGTCCACTCATAAACGACACATCCGTTCATATCTACTTGGTGAGTAGTGCACACAAATTTTGTCTATATTGTTTGGGTTTTTTTTTAAGTACCAGACATTTGGAATAACTTGTGGTATGAAACAACAGATAATAATAATCATATTATTATTTTATATAACTTTCCAGCCATGTTGGCCCGTAGCTAACCAATACATAAAAAATCAGTCAGCTGACAGATCTTCCACCTGGTTGATTTCTTGACTGATTGATCTTTTCCCTGATGGAAATTTTGGCTGGTTAATGTTCCGGCTGTAAGTTTCAGCTCTACCAAATAGTGTATACAAGATAGTTCATCCCTGGCCTGTGGTGTTTCAGGGAATGAAAGACTGATGATCCGGCGCGGAGGGCCTTAAACTCTGATATAATAATTTTATGATCTATCCAGCGTAAGCCCGCTGTTCATTTGTGTTGCCCACTGTCAGTTGACGATATTTGGCGATGTTTCAAGCTTAATCCAGTTTACATTCGTCTTTTGGAGAGAGAAAGAGAGAGACAGAGACACACAGACAGACAGACAGACAGACAGGCAGACACACAGACAGAGAGAGAGTGATAGAGAGAGACTGAGAGAGAGAGATAGAGAAAGAGGGGTGTGTGTGTGTGTGTGTGTGTGTGTGTGTGTGTGTGTGTGTGTGTGTGTGTGTGTGTGTGTGTGTGTGTGTGTGTGTGTGTGTGTGTTAGAGAGCGATAGGTGGGAGAGAAAGTGGAAGAGTATTTAAATTTGCGCCATTCCATTCTCTCTCTCTCTCTCTCTCTCTCTCTCTCTCTCTCTCTCTCTCTCTCTCTCTCTCTCTCTCTCTCTCTCTCTCTCTCTCTCTCTCTTTCTCTCTCTCCAGCGCGCTGGAAGTGACACGCTCTCACTGCACAAGCAAACAAACGTACAAACCCATACCTTCTTCTTCAGGTGTCAGGTCAGGGGCAGACAATGACCATCTTGGTACCCCATTCCTTCCTGTTTCATGCCTTCCTTGTCTTCCTCTGCTCTTCTTTCCCTCTATCTGTCCACACAGCAACAGTTTCTCTTGTCCATTTGATCTATTTACATGGTCAAAGAATCTAGTTGTCTTTTTCTGATGGTTCTGATTGTGGATCTCTCCTATCCTGCCATCTGAAGCACTTCTCAGCTTGTTTTCTTCTCTGTCCATAATATCCTGAGCATTCTCTTTAACCCTAGACTGCTATGCAAAGCGTACGGATCGAATAAACGAGTAAAATTCCTCTTTGAAAAGTGGTGGCACAGAGTTCCCCACGTCGTATGTGTACGATAGTAAAACACGACGTACGAATAGGGTTACATACCATATTTCATCCTGCACAGCCCTAAATGACATCAGAGCTACCCTCTCCCTCCGAGACCTAACATTGACAACACACTCTATGGAACATTACAGCAACTGCAGCAAACCTGCACTTATCACTACATGGCATTGGACAGAAGGGCGAGAGCCCAGCTGTTGCTGGATCGATAACAACCATATTTCAGGGGACCCAGTCTCTGTTTGAGTCTATCGCTTTTACGTACGCTTTTAGGGCTCTTATTTGTTGTCCACAATGTTATGTTTCTAATTGAGAGAATAGATTTCATCTTGATGGAAATTTCTTTAGATATTGCATTCACACATACATAAAAACAAATACCAAATACATACACAAATACACAAACACAAGCTAACACATTCGCTCACACGTATACGCATCAGTAACCCTTTATTTTTCCTTCTCTCTCTCTCTCTCTCTCTCTCTCTCTCTCTCTCTCTGTCTCTCTCTCTCTGTCTCTCTCTCTCTATCTCTCCCTCTCTCTCTGACGTCAGCACGATGAAGGTGACAGTTGTCCTCACAGTTCTGGCGCTCACCTGTCTGGTCGGCTCTGTGACGTCACAATACTACAGCAACAACAACGGCAGGTGAGACTTTGCGACAGTTTGGCTTTTGTATTACTTTAACAACTCGCTACTGGAGACTGATATTCTTTTTCAAAAGAATTGCTATTGCTTTGTTGGTTTTTTAGGGGTTTTTAGAGGGTTGGGGGGGGGGTAAATAATGTAGGTATTTCAACGCCCCCGAAGACACAATTTAGATTATTAAAGAGGCAGGCATCGACTCCACCTGTGAGAGTTAATCCTAGCTGAGAGGGATACAACGTCCTTGTGTAAAGAACTAAATTTTCCATTAAAATAGGTTGCTTTTAATGACAAGCGGGCTAACCCAGATTTCGGAGATTTCAAGAAATCTTGACCTACACCAAGAGTGGGCATTAACTTACCAAAAGTAGAAGTTTGGTTTCATTGGTGAGTAGAGTATATTTGTTTGGTTATAGAGAAAACTCTCCTTATCTTTTAAAGAAACTGAAACAAATTGCAAAAACTTTAACTTCAATTTTTTCAAAACAGTATTTTTAAGGATAGCCCCCTTGTGCTTAAAAACGACCAATTGTCCCAACACAGGAATCGAACTCCAGACCTCTGCAAGCAACGATGAAGCGCATAACCACTACACCACACTTTTTAATGTTTCAAAAGAGAGCCACTTATGTCTTAGCCCCAAGATTAAAGAAGATATAAACTGCTAATATTCTAGTCCCTCATCGACACATTTCAGTTTATTAAGAAAGCACGCAAAACTAGTTTGAAAGAGGTCCTCCAAAAGACAACATATCAACAACAACAGAAGCCACTCATCAAGACCTCGAACACAAACTGCATCTCCCTCGACATCCAACAATAAAAGAGAAGGAAGAAAGTAGAGTGTATTAAATAGGAGGCTGGCTGCCTTAAACCTTTTTTTTATTTGCATGACGTATGACTTACGTCCGTTCTGTCTTGGGTTCCCTCCTCGCAGGAGCCGCTTTCCCAGCTACAACCGCAACAACAACAGAGGCTACAACTACGGCGGCTACCGACAACAGTATCCCAGATACAACAGGTGGCTCATTCTTGTGCTCCATAGTTTGGTTGGGCTCTTTGTGTTTGTGTGTGTGGAGTTGTTTTTTTGGTTGGGGGAGGGATTGTTAGTTTGTTTTTTCTTTGTTGCTTTTTAGTTGGCCCAATAGCTTAATACCTCGTCAATATAATGAGATCTAAGCAACCGATAATTTTTACCAATTTTTTTAATTTGTTGAACCAACACCCTTTATAGAAATTTTAAAACACGGTGCGGTGTGGTTTTTGGTAAAAACATTTTTCAAAGGAAGAAAAAATGTGTAAATTTGCAGTTTCCAAGGAAGTCACCAAATGTGGGTGGCCATTATCTCGTTACAATAGCAAACATCTTTAAAATTATGCCTATAGCTCCAAACGCCACAACATTGACAGATGCCTGATTCAGCTGTATCGTGATACAATTTGAAAGAGACTAAAGTAAAAACGTTGATTCTTTAATGAATATTATTATTATAGTTCCAGGTGTTTGTAGTTGCGTTTGTGGCCTAGTGGTTAGGCTACCGGACTCGTAATCTTGAGATTGTGAGTTCGGGGGTTTGAGCCTCAGTTCGGCCCGACGCTGTGTCCTTGGGAAAGGCACTTTACACAAACTTCTCACTTGGCTTGGTCCCTTCGGAGATGGACGTTAAACTCGGAGGTCCTGCCTCTTAAATGTTGATAGGGGCGTTAAACCTGTACCATTTCATTAATGAAAAACTGAACATTAAACTACAGTGACTTCAGACTCCGTATTATACTGTGCACCCTTTATATGATTCTGAACCACGGTTAAGTTTGTCAAATTCGAAAGTTCAGTGGTTGGGAAGTTTTAGGCTGTCAAAGTGACGAACTTTCATAAATATAATATGTAGAGATGAGCAATTAACAACACGAACGGAAGTGGAGAGCTGGATGGATGTCTGTGTGTGAGTGTGCCTGCGTGCGTGCGTGTGTGTGTGTGTGTGTGTGTGTGTGTGTGTGTGTGTGTGTGTGTGTGTGTGTGTTGAGTTTGGGTGTGCTTGCGTCTATTTATCATTTTATATTAGGTTTTTTTTTCGGGGGAGGGAAGGGGTGGAAATTTCTTCAATTGGAAATGTTCAGCCGTTTATTTTGGGGAAGAAGCTCTTTAACATTGACCAAATCTGAAAACTGACGCTATGATTGTTTCAACAGGTACAACAGATATAACAGCTACGACAGTGACAGCAGTGAGAGTCGCGACAGTGACGACAGCAGCGAAGAGAGGGGTCGCTACAATTACTACAGAAGATACTAATGTTCGTGGACTGCGGAGACTGGTGTTTATTCATCACAATGCGTCTGTTACTTTCTATACTTCTATACTGTCTTACTGAAGTGAATGAAAACTGTCACTGTTAGTACGTGACGGCCAGTTTCGTACACGTTTTTTCTTGACAAGCTTTTTTTACTTGAAATTTATTTTATTTTTTAAATATTTTTTTTTGGTTCTTTTGACTCTAAAATAAATATTGTGGTTCTGTCTGTAGGTTTCATACTTTGAAAACCTTCAAAATAAAGTCAAAGGAAAAGGGAAACAAACATTGTTTGATGAAGTTGTCTTTTGCTGTTTTTGTGTCTTCAGAGCGCCTTATCTATCACTACCACCACCACTTATCTCTCTCTCTATTCTCTCTCTCTCTCTCTCTCTCTCTCTCTCTCTCTCTCTCTCTCTCTCTCTCTCTCTTTCTCTCTCCACCCATACTGTCTCTTGTTCTTTACCTCTCTGTCGCTGACTGTTCATATGCGAAGACAGTCAGGCCAGTCCCTAGGTTAGTCAGTTGCTGTAGCCCACTTCTACTGCCGACCTCTCAGAGCCCGCTCTCAACACACAGAGTGAGTCATCATGGGGAATTCATTCGCTCGTCAAATTAAAGAAATTAGAGAAACCAGGATTTTTCTTCCGGTTTGGAATTTTTTATCGAATGTTTTAATTATTTTTTTTGCTCAACAACTTTCATGTCCATGTAAAGGCACATTTCTCTGTGCATTTTACGGAAAATGATTGAGGGCACAAACAATGTAAATTTCAAGTCTCCAAGGAGTCTTAAACTACGAAAATCACCCAAAAAAAACTTTGGCGGCTATTTTCTTGTTAATAATGTTACCTCAGAAAGCAGGCAACCACACCACCTTCAATCCCAAATATCTCAATTTCCATTCACGATGTACGGGTATCTTTTCACCGAAAACAAGACAAGTGAACAAGCTTTGAGATTGTACCAGTAACTCCACATTGCCCAAAATTGACGAGAGCCTGATTTGAAGTGGCGTCAGTGGCCTAGTGGTTAGGCTACTGGACTCGTAATCGTGAGGTTGCGGGTTTGGGGGTTCGAGCCGCGGGCCCGACGTTGTTTCCTTGGGAAATACACTTTACACGAGTTTTCCCCACTTCACCGAGGTGAAAATTGGTACTCAGCTTTTGAAAGTGAAAGATCTTGTCAGTTTGTTAGTGTTTGAGCGCTTAACCAGCTGCTTGGACTGTATGCTTCCCGGGAAGCTTAGAATGTTTCTGAGTGTTCTATGGTTTGCTGGGGTAATAATAAAGCGCATAGAGCCTGCTTTCGAGTGGGCACATGCGCTATACAAATGCTATATATTATTACTACTACTACTATTATTATTATTATTATTATTATTATTATTATATTATTATTATTATTATTATCATCATTATTTGTATTATTATTATTAAGATTATTATTATTATTATAATTATTATTATTATTATTATCATTATTACTCTTATCATTATTATTATTATTATTATTATTATTATTATTATTATTATTATTATTATTATTATTATTCCATCGTGTCGAAAGAAGGTCCCTCCGAACCTCGTGGCATCTATCTTTGAGGTGCCACTCTGCAACAGATTTGGGGTTCTGGACAAAGACATGGGGCCGTGGGAAGGGGGAGGCTCCTCCTCCATCTCTTCTTATTCCCCTTCCTTTTTCTTCTTTCCGTGGTTCTTGTGGCCCAGAAGTTAAAGTGTTGGCCTCTCATTCAAAGGTCCCAGTTTCAAATCCAGGTAGCGACCGAAGAATTTCTTCTCTAAAACTGTCTCCTTTCACCTCCAATCCTGCTCTCTTGTAATGTTCTATCGTCTGCTTTCGTCTCTTCTTTCTTCCCCAACCCCTCACCTCCTTTGCCCCCTCCTTTGGGCTTCTGACTTTTTCTGCAGCCTTTTTACTGTTCTCTTTGGCTCCTTCTTACTGCTGTCTTTCAGCCACACCTCTGATCTTCTGGTAGGAAAGATCTACACCTAGCCTTCTCGGACAAGGGCGAAAAATCTCCGAGGTCCCGTGTGCAAGAGTGCACGCTAAAGACCCCTTGGTGGTCTAAAATCGGTAAGAGTAGGCTTCGGCCGCCACCCGGGCAAAATTCAAAATTTCATACGAAATGAAAATGTGTAATGTGTCCCACCCGCTCATACGAACGTATGCAGTTGCGAGGGCCTTAAAATACTTCCAAAAACAAACATTTCTTCTGTCCCCTCTTCCTCCTCCCGCCCTACTCCTCTCAACTCATGCACTTGTGAGGTACCCCCTCCCCCTCTTCCCAGCCCTCCGTCTGCTCCACCATCCAGTACCCCTCCCACCACGTAGACCTTGCACCTACATGATGGCTACTTTTACCTGGGATGTGTATTCGTTCAAAGCTGCAAAGGAAGGCTTCTCAATTCAGAGGACAATAGGAGTAGAGTTGGGATGGGGTGGTTTGGTTTGTTTGTTTGTTTGTTAGTCTGTTTTTGTTTTGTTTTTGTTTTTTGGTAAGTCTGTTACGCACTTGCAACTGCATAATGGCATATGAGCGCGCGGGACACATTAAACATTTTCAGTTTGGTTGGAACTAATTAATTTTGAATTTTGCCCTGGTGGCGCCGAAGACTACATCTATGGATTTTAGGACCACCAAGGGATGTTAGATATCACCTACAATAAAACCAGGGATTTGAATGAAAGACAGAAGTAAAAATGAGTAGAAAGGCTGTGGAAAGCGTCAGGGGACCCCCGGGGCGGTGCTACTGACTGAAGTGTCTTTAGGCCGTTGCTAGAGGGGGGACATTACCATCTCCAGTTCTTAGGCACAGTAGTATTGTAATTGTAAATGGGCAGATTCTTCAATGTCACGCTCCTGACTGTGTCTGAACTACAACAAGGAACTGCTGCTTTTTTTTCCTAATCCTCACTATCGTCATTTTTTCCTCTACTTCTTTTGTATGTTTGTTACACTCTTGAGATCTTCTATTTGCGGGATGCCTTGATAGTTGAAGCAGACTTTGTACTGTTGAAGCTAGAGAGGTGAGCAGAGTAAGTCTGATTCCTTGTAAGGACTTCTCTTTTGACACCCACCCCTTGGCGCTCATATGACCTTTTTATGCAGTTGCGAGCGCAGTAAAACCTCTACTAAAACAAACAAGAGTCAGGGGCCCAGAGAAAGGGGCAAGGGGTTAGGGCAGGGTAGGACATCATGTGGAGGCGAAAGCAAACAACAGAACATGGTCAAAGAGCAGAAAAGAATGTGAAAGGATATTTCTCAAAACTCGGTACTGAGCAGATAGAACTTTGTAGTTCTAGAGCAGTGAAATGCCAAAACCTCAGTGGAAAACACTAAAAGTGATTGAACAGTAGCAAATAAATATTCCTTTTAGAAATGCTGTAGTTTTTGTAAATTACAATTGATATCCTGCAAATTGCTCTAAATGGGTTATATTGTCTTTTAATCACTTACTAATTATGGGCGCTTGTCAATTTGGTCCATGTGGAGTTACCAGTACCTCAATGCTTGTTCATCTGGCTGTTGTTGTTTTTTTGGTGAAAAAGTACCCTTTTATCGTGAATATAAGTGGAGATTTTTGAGACTGAAGGAGATGGGGGTCGGCTCGTTTCAGAGATAATTGATATTAGTGGGAAAATGACTGTCAAAGTTTAGTGATTTTCATAGCTTAAGAGTCCTTGGAGACTGAAAAAGTTGTTTTTTTTTGTGCCTTTAGTTAACGGTTTTCCGTAAAATTCATCAGAGAAATGTGCTTTTAAATGGATATGGAAGTTGTTGAGCCAAAAAACAAAAGTAAGGTAATAATTGCCAAACCAGAGGGAAAATCCTGGTTTCACTAATTTCCCTAATTTGACGAGCGCCTGAATCCCCCATGATGCCTTACTCTGTGTGTTGAGAGCGGGCTCTGAGAGGTCGGCAGTAGAATTAGACTACAGGAACTGGCCAACCTAGGGACTGGCCTGACTGTCTTTGCATATCAACAGTCAGGGACAGAGAGGGACAGCACGAAAGACAGTAGGTGTGGAAGAAAATCAGAAAAGAAAAGGAGAGAGAGAGAGAAAGGGAGAAAAGAGCGAGAGAGAGAGAAAGAAAGAGAGTGAGAGAAAGAAATAGAGAGAGAGAGATGTGGAAGAAAATGACCAAAAGAAAAGGAGAGAGAAAAAGAGAGAGAGAGAGAGAGAGAGAGAGAGAGAGAGAGAGAGAGAGACGTTTATTATATGTGTGTGGGTGTGTGTGTGTGCGTGTGTGTGGGTATGTGTGTGTGTGTATGTGTGTGTGTGTGTGTGTGTGTGTGTGTGTGTGTGTGTGTGTGTGTGTGTGTTCTGTAGACACAAACAAACAGTAAAAGACAACTTCATCAAACAACGTCTGTTTCCCTTTTCCATTGACTTTATTTGAAGGTTTTCAAAGTATGAAACCTCTAGACAGAACCACAATATTTATTTTAGTATCAAAGAAATCACACAACAACAACAAAAATTCAAGTAAAAAAACTTGTCAAGAAAAACGTGTACAAATCTAGTCCTAACGTACTAACTTTGACAGTTTTCATTTACTTCATTAAGACAGTATAGAAAGTAACAGACGCATTGTGATGAATCAACACCAGTCTCCGCAGTCCACGAACATTAGTATCTTCTGTAGAAATTGTAGCGACCCCTCTCTTCGCTGCTGTCACTGCTGTCGCTGCTGTCGCTGCTGTCGCTGCTGTCGCTGCTGTCGCTGCTGTCGCTGCTGTCTGAGCTGTCAGAGCTGTCACTGCCATAGCTGTTGTATCTGTTGAACCTGTTGGAACAATCAAAACGTCAGTTGTTCAGATTTCGTTAATGTTAAAGAACTTATACAAAATCAACGCCTAAACGTTTTAAAATTGAAGAGATTTCCACCACCCTAAAAAAATGACATAAAATAAAAAAATAAACAGGTAAATCGATAATTAAGTATAAAATAAATAAAGTTAGATTCAAACGATGCTACATTTTTTAAAAACATGCGTCCACCCCCCCCCCCTCTCTAAATCCTTAAACACACACACAAACACACACACACACACACACACACACAAACAAACACACACACTCACACACACACACACACACACACACACACACACACACACACACACACACACATATCCAGCTTCCCATTTCCGTTCATGTTGTGAATTGGTCGCTTTTAAGGTCAAGCGGGCCAACCCAGATTTCGGGGGTCTTCAGAAATCTTGACCTACACCAAAAGTGGACATTGCCCTACCCAACGGAGAAGTTTGGTTTTATTAGTCTGTATATTTGTTTGGAGATAGAGAAAACTCTCCTTGTTTTTTGAAAATGAAACTTAACAATGTGCAAAAACTTTACCTTCGATGTTCTCAAAATAGCATTTTTCGGGATAGCCCCGTTGTGCTTTAAAGCGACCAGTCTGTTGTTCAGATTTTGTTATTGTTAAAAAACATCAACTACAATATTGACACCTAAAAATTTTCCAAATGAAGAGATTTCCGCTTTCCTAAAAAATAAATTTGAAAAAAATTAAAAGAAAAAACTAATAAATAGATAATTAAGTAGATAATAAATAAAATTAGATTCAAACAATACAAAGTTTTTAAAAACATGTGCACCCCCCCCCCCCCCTAATCCATCTTTCAACACACACACACACACACACACACACACACACACACACACACACACACACACACACACACACACATACACACACACACAAACACACACACACACACACACACACACACATACAAACACACACACACACACATACACATACACACACACAAATACACACACACACATCCAGCTCCCCCCCTTTCCGTTCCTGCGTTCCTGTTGTGAATTGCTCATTAACCATATTATTTATTTAACACCAACAGAAAAGGCTTTTTATGTACGAGACAACGTCACACGAGCCAAGTCTTAGATCAAGCTGGATGTCCATGTCGTGTTTATATATATATATATATATATATATATATATATATATATATATATATATATATATATATATAATTTCATCATCATCATCATCATCATCCAGTGCCAGATCTGCCACAGACATGGGCGATCATGGTTCTCCATACATTCCTTTGCTCGGATGCTCTCAAAAAAGCTACGTTTCCCTGATCTCTCCCTGTTACCCATTTGTTTAGGTTCCCTAAGTATGCTGTTCAGGGCCTGTTCTTCCCCTGCCTCGCTTGCCCTCAATTTTGCCAGTGAGAGCCAGATGTTTAATACCTTTATGTCTATTTATGTGTCCCAAAAACTGCATTTGTCGTTTCCTGATTGTTTTTAACATCGAGTGCCCCACGGGGGCTTCTTCAAGCACTACCTCATTTGATTTCTTTTTCTTCCACGATACTCTTAGCTGTCTCCTAAGAAACCACATTTCTGTTGCTTCTATTTTATTTTCACTGTCTTTAGTGATTGTCCAGCATTCACAGTATAAAAAAAAAATATATATATATATATATATAAAGAGAGAGAGAGAGAGAGAGAGAGAGAGAGAGAGAGAGAGAGAGAGAGAGAGAGAGAGAGAGAGAGAGATAGAGATAGTTAGTAGAGCTTTTCTTTTTTCCTTCCGTTACTTTCCAATTGTCTAGTTTTAGTAAGAGTTTTATGGCACTTGCAACATAATAAGGTCATATAAGTGCCGAAGATTAGAGGTGTTACAAGAGAGTAACATACACACAAAAAAACAAGGAGGAGAGATAATGCCGACAGATTGATAGGAAAGAAGGAGCTAACCACACCAGAGGACCCCCCAACCACCCACTTCCAATTGTATCACGATACAGTTGAACAAGGCACCCGTATTTCACATAAGCACGAAAAAACAGTTCAGCTACATGAAAAAGAACTTTCACAACCATACATTAACTATATAAACGAAAGGACAGTTTTTTAAAATGCAAAACAAAAACAAACCAAAAAAAAGCCGAACAAAAAAAAAAAAAACAGAACAAAAGTAGGGAACACAAGAATTAATCACCTGTTGTATCTGGGATACTGTTGTCGGTACCCCACGTTGTTGTAGCCTCTGTTATTGCTGGGGAAGCGGCTCCTGCAAGGAGGGAAGCGAAGACAGAACGGACGTGAGCAACATGTCTCAAAGGTAAAAATTGGGCCGAAGCAGAATGCCTCCACCAAAGATTCTGTATAACAAGATAGTTCACTCCTCTCTTTGAGCTAATAAAAAAAAGTGTCCTCAAAATTGGGTTGCGCGCTCTTAAAAAAAGCCCACCCTCTGCGAACAGAGTTACCCTTCTTGTGTGAAAAAAAATCAAAGTGAAACTCCCAAGTTTTGACTAAATTAGAATTCAAATTTCGGAAAAACGCTTTTTTAAAATGGTTGACTTCAAAATGAGAGGCGAGAGGTTATTACAATTTTTTTTAAACCTAAAACTCCGCACTGAACGAACCCGAACAGCTGATGAACAGCAGTCGATCTGCGCACGCAAAGGGATGCTATACCTATTCTTCTTTTGGAGAAACGAAAGACGGCTTCAAAACAAAGACTGCAGCATCATCTGAACCATCTTGTTATGTACGATCTTTGCTCCAACTTAATTTATCTTTCCTCTTGTATTGTTTGATGTCGAATGGAGGTGGGTTTGCGTTCAATGACTTGGTAGGTGACTTCTGTTGTTGCTGATATGTTGTTCTTTTGGAGGTCCTCTTTAACACCATCCAAACCAGTTTTCCCACCCTTCCTTATTGACCTAACATGTGTTGATGGTGGACCTTGAATATTGCAGTTTCTTAATCTTCTTTAATCCTGGTGCTAAGACATAAGTTGCTCTCTTTTGAAAAACTGACAATTGTGGTGTAGCGGTTATTCGCTTTATCGTCGCTTACAGAGGTCCAGAGTTTGATTCCCATGTAGGGACAAATTCAATCGAGAATTTCGGTCTTTATAAAGGACGTTGTATCCCTCTCACCTTGGATTAACCCTCACATGCAGAGTTGAAGCCTACCTCTTAACCCTATCCGTACGTCGTGTTTTACTTTCGTATCCATACGTCGTGGGGAACTCTGTGCCACCACTTTCAAAGAGGAAATGTACTCTTAATCCGATCCGTACGCTTTGCATAGCTGTCTGTCAAAAAGACCTTTTGAGAAATACTGAAAGTTTCAAAGAGATCTTCCTACTAGAAGTATTCTAAAATGCAATATGACCACGGGGCGTACGGATAGGGTTAATCAATGATCTAAATTATTGCGATAGGGGCTTTGAATTGCTTACATTAACATTCCCC